GAGATTTTCAATATACCTGATAATGCTGAAGTGATTTTAGAGATAGCGCAAAACGAAGAAGCAATTATTATGAATTTATAAAACGGTGAACAGTTGAAAGTTCCTAGATAACAAACTTGAACTTGCAGAAGATTTACACTACAACTGATAATGCTGCAATGATTTTAGAGATGGCGTAAAACTAAGAAGCAGTTACTATTAATTTATAAAACAATGAATAGTTAAGCGTTCCAAGAACCTAAACCTGAAATTGCAGATTTACACTACAACTTATAATGCTGCAATGATTTTAGAGATGGCGTAAATCGAAGAAGCAGTTACTATTAATTTATAAAACAATGAATAGTTAAGCGTTCCAAGAACCTAAACCTGAAATTGCAGATTTAAACTACAACTTATAATGCTGCAATGATTTTAGAGATGGCGTAAATCGAAGAAACAGTTACTATTAATTTATAAAACAATGAATAGTTAAGCTTTCCAAGAACCTAAACCTGAAATTGCAGATTTACACTACAACTGATAATGCTGCAATGATTTTAGAGATGGCGTAAAACGAAGAAGCAGTTACTATTAATTTATAAAACAATGAATAGTTAAGCGTTCCAAGAACCTAAACCTGAAATTGCAGATTTACACTACAACTTATAATGCTGCAATGATTTTAGAGATGGCGTAAAACGAAGAAGCAGTTACTATTAATTTATAAAACAATGAATAGTTAAGCGTTCCAAGAACCTAAACCTGAAATTGCAGAAGATTTACACGACAACTAACAATGCTGCAATGATTTTTGAGATGTAAAACGAAGAAAGAGTTAGTATTAATTTATAAAAAAGCTAAATAGCTGAGCGTTAGAAAAAGTCAAACCAAATCTTGGAGAGATGAGTTAAAAGGGAAATAACTGAGACATTCGGAAGAGGCATGGCACGTGGAACGAGAACACTCTACCATTATCTGTCTATATTTCTGAGATGAAGTATTATGTACACTATTTACATTATTCTGACTATTGTCCTCATCTTTGACGCCATATTTATTACAGCGTTTCGGCCATTGTACGCTCCGGCCTTCTTCAGGTGGTTGGAATGTCGAACTGAATGAGCACTGGTAAAAAAAAAAATGACTGCTGAGTGATTAGTTTTATAAGTCCCAGAAATTCATACATGGATATCCTCAAGGACACATGGCACAGTGGATAAAGGAGTTGGTTAGATCCAGTGACAAGACCAAAAGAATCTGAGTTCAATACCTGATTATAACTTTGGAGAACTTGGAAATGGTAATTAACAGGAGATAACTGATAACTAACATCGATTAAACATGGCACGTTAACTAGAACAGTCTACTCCAGTGAGCGAAATAAAGGGTTCACTTCAACATTCCAACCACCTGAAGAAGGCCGGAGTGTATAACGGCCGATACGTCGTAATAAATATGGCGACAAAGATGAGGACAATAGTCTGAATAATGTAAATAATGTACCTTCTATAAGTGGAAGAAATCAATTTTTATATTAATACAGTGTGCAGCAGAAATACCTCCTGTTTTTTAAACTCTCACCCTTGTGGTGCTAGTGGACACAGGAAAGAGGCAATTGTGTTTTCACCTTGCTAACTATATGCAATTTATTTTTTCAGATACTATCAACTGCCATCATTGACTTGACCGGTGTACACCGTGCCTTTGCTGTTGAAATGTTCTTTTTTTTTTTTTGTTTGTTTGTTTTGGTGAAATTGTAATTGCAACACAGAATGCTATTCACACTCATTTCATGTTAGGTCGGATGCTGTTCTGGATAGAAAATCGATACTGCTATGGTTTGCAAATGTCAGGACCACAGGTTAAGCGCTTAATGAAAAAACACCTGGGTGATCACGAAACGCTCGAAATTACGGGTGATGGAAACTTTAAAAATCAGCTACAACAGTGAATAGTGAATAGATTCAACCATTTTGAAGATAATACCTTTAAAACCAAATGAATAAAAACTATAGCCCTTTACTTAAACGACAATAAAATATATATATTTTTTAAAATAGCAGATACCTAGGTCTTTTGGTGAACCTCTAAAATGTGGGAGGGATGTCTGCCACACCCAGTATAAATTAATGGCTTTTCTTTGCGAGATGTCATTTCGCATAACGCGTTGACACATCTTCATAAAAACGTTCTCTAATTAAAAAAAAAAAATGTCACTGCCCCCGATCAGAATTAGTTGTGTCGGAAATTAGAATCTCTCTCTTTCTCTGAAGATAGCTTTCTCTTTTAAAATGCCAAAGCGACTTTACGCAGAGCGAAATGTTCCTTGTATCACACTATGGTCTATCCTTGTCGGTATTATACGCAGATATAATATACCAAGTGTAACAGCAAAATTGTCCAGATCGTGTTACCACATAATTTACCATCGCACAGAATCTTTAATCTCTACAAAAACACTAAATTAATTGAGTTTCGTCTTTCTCGGTTTTCATATGCCACATTTAACCATCATGATACCATTCGTCGTAAGAATCACTGAAATACTTTTTGAGTTATTCAGCTAGAAAGAGACGAGGTTAAAATCGTTTCGTGTTAGCCCCATTTTCTTTGGAAGGAATAAATATCATTCAGGCCTTCCGTAATTATACCGCCATTCATACTCTGGCTTCCATTTTCAACGTCCATTCAAGAACTACCAAGAGAACGGTGAATGAGTTTAAAAAAGGTGGGAACAGTAGAAACGAAAACTGCATCAGGAGGTCGCAACTAGAAGAGGGATCATCATTTCAACTTAGCGCTAAAGAGATCAGTTAGAAAAGATCCAACTCAATCCATAAGATGTTTGGCATGTTAGAGAGTAGTTTCAGTTATGGCAATCAAAGAAGCAGTGAAAAATGACTTGAAAAAGAAATCGTAGGTGAAACCTGTAAGGCAACTTGTTACTCCAGGATAGAAAGTTAGACGGTTAGAGAGGGCGAAGATCATCTTGAATAAGTTGGAAAATATCCTGGAATAATATATATATATATATATATATATATATATATATATATATATATATATATATATATTTTATTTCAATCCTTCATGAGCTTCCGATCCTTAGCTATATGATTAATTAATGATGAATATGTCATTTTTATTTATGATCGATTTGCTCACGATTCTTCTGTTAAGCTTCGAGAGTAATTCTACATTCTTCTTGCTCAAAGAAGAGTCCAATAGTGTTATAAGATCCTCGGCGGATTCCAGTAAGATATCTTTAATCATTTTTAAGATACAACGGTTCAAAGCTTAATCTAACAATTGGACAATTTTGTTTTACAGATTTTATACAAATTTATATATATATATATATATATATATATATATATATATATATATATATATATATATATATATATATATATATATATATATATATATATATATATATATATATTTGGAAAATGGTCTGAAGATCTACATTCATAAATATTTAAATTAAAATTGATTTTTTTATGTTTAAATTTATAAAATTTCAACGTTAAACATAAAAAATATGTCTTTTAATAAATATATATATATATATATATATATATATATATATATATATATATATATATATAATATAAATAAAGAATGAACTAAATGGATTAATATTTGCACGTTATATTATATTATGGTGCGTTTATGTAATAATTACGTTTTTTAAGTTAATATTAAAATCCGTTAAAACAAAATGAGCTTCGAAAAAAAAAAAATCTTTCCTTGAATTCAGAACTCTGCTTGAAATCTTTTCTACATCTGAGAGGAAGTTTTGCCGCATTCACTACCATAGAGAGATTAGACATTAGAGATCAGTGAAGGCCTCTTAGAAATTCTCTTAATTTTCATGAATTGTATCTTGCCACATTTTCGTACATCGTGCTCTCTCTGCCTTTGCTAAAAACATTTCTCAATTATTTAAGTTTCAACTCTCCCTGTATATGTGATGATTAACACAGTATGGCACAGCCTTTCAATATTAATGTCATTAGAATCTTCTGGAAATATATTTATCTTTCATAATGTCAGAGTGACCTTACAACGAACAAATATTATCTGCGCTCAAATGCGCTTACGTAAATGTATTTGTCATCGGTAAACATTTTGGATTGAAAAAAATTAAAATTGTCGCCATTTTATATTTTGGCGACAATTTTCACATTGCATCCTATATTAATAAAATTTGATTTTTAAATTTTCTTCAATTTAAACTGAAAGTTTATAGATCTCGCCCTATATAACAATTTTTTTTTTTTTTTTTTAAATCGCCCCCCAAGCATTAAGCCGGGTAAGTTAATAGCACGCAAGGGGTTAAAGAAAAAATTCTTTATCTTTTGTAAAAAGGTAGTTTTGGGAAAATTTTAAAGAGAAGGATCAAAATCAAGGCATTCAGGAGATGTCGATTGACATTAAATTGCATTATTTGAAAATTATATATTTCAGGGAATTAACATTTTTCAAGGAGTTCATGACAGGAGGTGCGAGATAAGAAATAAATTGAAAATAGAAGAGATTTATTATTTAGCCGTTTCAAGGACAAAACGAAAAGGATTTGTGATGCCAACCTTTAGCACGCTTAAATCCATGCAGTTTGGCAACCAGAAAAAACCTAGCTCGTCGGAGCAGTTGCCATGAAAATAATTTTAGAAAAAAGAGGGGAGCCACAGCATGTCTGTGAGATAGCGATCACATAACTTGGATGCCAGATCATGACCAACCAACTTGCATCTCCGTCTCTAGATTTTGTCGAGAAAATTCGAGATGAACAGCGGGAGAACCAATATATATATATGCAGTATTCCATGCAAGGACAATTTTGTAGCTTTGAAGGATGGACAAAATCGAGAAAAACTTCCGGCATTTTTTAGAGAATCAAATTTCCTTTTTTAAACATTGATTTTAACTATAGATTCAATGTTTAAAATCCACTGAACTGTTCAAGAAATATTAAAAAATTTTTTAAGAAAAAAAACCTTAAAACTATTTAAATGTTTATCTTTTCTTCTTTCTTTCTTCTTCTTTTTCTTATCTTCATCTTCTTCTTCTTTCCTTTAAAATTCTTCTTCTTCTTTTTTTTTTTTTATCCTTTTTTTTTATTCTTATTCTTTTTTCTAAATTCTTCTTCTTCTTCTTTTCTTCTTTTTTTTCTTCTTCATCATTTTTTAAAATTTCTTCTTCTTTATTTTTTTTCTCTTTTTCTTTTTCTTCTTCTTCTTCTTCTTCTTCTTCCTTTTTTTCCTCTTCTTTTCTTTTTTCTTCTTCCTTCTTTTTTCCTTTTCCTTCCTCTTCTTCTTCTTCTTCTTCTTCATCTTCAATTTTTTTTCTTTCTTTTTCTTCTTTCTTCTTCAATCTTCATTCTTCCTCTTCTTCTTCTTTTTTTCATCTTCTTCTTTCTTCTTTATTCTTCCTTTTCCTTCTTCTTCTTCTTTTCTTCTTCTTTCCTTCTTTTTCCTTTTTTCCTTTTTATTCCTTTCATTTCTTCTTCTTCTTCTTCTTTTTTTTTTTTTTTTTCTTTTTTTTCTTCTTCCTCTAAAAATTTTATTTTCTTCCTTTTGTTCTTCTTCTTCTTCGAATTTTTTATTTCTTTGAATCTCTTTTCTTCTTCTCTTCTTCTTTTTTTCCTCTTTCTGTCAAACTTCTTTTCTTCTTCTTTTTTTTTTTTTTTAAATCTTTGTTTTTTTTTTTTTGTGGGCGATCATCTTAATTTAAAATAAAATTTGTTTTAATTGTTGTCAATTGGTTATTTTCTTTTATTAAATGTTCTGTAAAATTTATACAAGCTTTTTTTTTCCAGTTTTCATGAAATATCGCTCTTTACATTCAGCATGCCTTTCCTTCTGTTAAATTTCCAAATTTCGTCTTTCCTCATTATGTATTATTGTTTAAATTCAATTTCCTTTTTTTTTTTTTTTTTTTCTTTATCACTTTTTTTTTTCATTTTTTTAAAACTTCGTCATTGCTCATTTCATGTTATACTCAGCATCTTTCTGTAGAACCGCAATTATTTTACAACAAGTTTCTCTTTTATCACAGAGGATATTCCCCAAAATTTACTAATGAGGAAATATTTATAGGGTGGTCTGTAAATTCACGTATATCTGTTTGATTCAAAATCTATGGGCAATGACCAAGGGTTTTTTAATTTTGTTTTTTGTCTAGGCTTGAAATCTATTTTTTTTTACGAGGAAAATTAGCATCGAGTTTTCATTGGAATATCCTGTTTTAGAAAATGAACGGAAATCTAGAATATTTTAACATTTCTCCATTTTTTTTTTTTTCCTTAATTTTTTTTTTCTGATGCAAATAAGGAATATTCTTTTAAATTTCACCGAATAGAATATTGGAGATCCTCTCCAATACAGGATTACAGTTAAAATGGCGACGATGCATTAAGAGTGTGATAGGAAAGGAAAAAGAAAGTGGGAGGAAATGAATATGATTAGGATATAGAGGTTTAGATAATCTTTGACCTTTGAAAAAGAGAAAAGATTTAAGTTTATGGATACATCCATAATCGAAATCTACTTTTTGAAGTGGTTGTTCTAATGCGATAAAAGTTTCTCGAGTAGGAATTCTTTATCTTGCATTTGAAAAAACAAAGGAAAAGAAGAGAATCGGCTTCGTAATGAGTTCTCTCACATTTGTATTCGATTAAATTAAATTTAAGACTAATCACTTGATCGGATACTTTTAAATTCTTTTTACGACTTAAAAATCAACATCTAACCGTAAGTTCTATTCTAATAATGTCTTCTTCCTATTCTCTTTTCTCTTTTAAAGTTCTCTGCTTCCCTATTTATATTCTTCTTCAAAATTTTAAATGAAACGTCAATCCCCATATTTTGCCGTTTGCGAACCTGATTTTTGTGTTCTTTCTACTCACCAAAGTCTCCTCATTCTGTTCCACTCGCAGAAATCATTGCCGTTTTTAGTTTGCCTTGTCGCATTTCTTGGGGTGAACTGATTTTAAAAAGTAACACGTTATAAAGGTTTTAACTTATGGAATTAAAGAACGGGGATGGGGCGCATCTGAAACTTGCTACGTAAATAGAGCGAAAAGTGTGGGATATTGGATCTGTGAGAAAAGAGCTTGCCGATTGGAATATAAGTCAGCACGGACAAAGACGCTGTAAACTCTTTTTCAAGTTTGAAATTGCGGATTGAACAACATTAGCCATAAAGGGCAGTTTTTTCATTCTTTCTTTCACCCCCCTTTTTTTTTTTCGTCATTTTCTTTTCTTTCCATCTCTTCACTTCTATTTTAACAATCTCCCATCCTTTCTTTCTTTCTTTCTTTCTTTCTTTCTTTCTTTCTTCTTACACATTGACATTCAACTCTTTCTTTCTTTTCATTCTTTTTCATCGTTCTTTCTATAATATCATTCTTTCTTTTTTAAAAATTTTCTTTTTTCTTTTTTTTTTTTTTTCTTTCTTTCTTTTCTTTCTTTCTTTCTTTTTTTTTTTTCTTGTCGTTCTTTTTTTTTCTTATAAATTTCTTTCTTTTTCTTTTCTTTCTTTCTTTTTTTCTTTTTTTTATCCCTGCTGTCTTTTTTTTCTTTTTTTTCTTTTTTTTTTTTTTTTTCCCCTTTCCTGTCTTTTTCTTTCTTTTTTTTTTCTTTTTTTCTTTCTTTTTTTCATGTCCTGCTGTTTTTCTTTTTCTTTCTTTCTTTCTTTTTTCTCATTCTTTCTTTTCTTTCTTTCTTTTTTTCTTTCTATCCCTTAAAGTCTTTTTTTTTTTCTTTCTTTCTTTTATCCTTTTTTTTTTTTCTTTCTTTCTTTCTTTTTCTTTTCTTTTTTTCTTTTTTTTCCTTTTTCCCTTCTGTCTTTTTCTTTCTTTCTTTCTTTCTTTTTTTCTTTCTTTCTTTTCTTTCTTTTTTTTTTCTTTCTTTCAACCCTTTGTCTTTTCTTTCTTTTTTATTTCTTTCTTTCTTTCTTTCTTTCTTTCTTTCTTTATTTCTTTCTTTCTTTTACCTATTTCTTCATTTCCTTTCGTTCTTCATTTATTCCTTATTCTATTTCGACCTTTCTACTTTAATTTCCTTCCGCTTCTTTCTTTTTTCTTTCCATTCTTGTTCTTTGTTTTTTCTTTCACCTTTAATTTCATTTAATTTCTCCTCTTTATTCCTTTCTTTAGTTTTTCTTCATTCATTCATTCTTTTTTTCTTTCTTTCTTTCTTTTACCTATTTCTACTTTTCTTTTTGTTTGTTTCATTCTTTGTTCTTTCTCTCTTTTACCTAATTCTTCTTTTTCTTTCTTTCTCATGTAATGTCCTTCCACTTCTTTCTTTTCAGTCCTGTTCTTTGTCCTATCTTTCACCCTTTTTTTTATTTTTGATGTCTCTTTCTCTCTCTCTCTCTCTTTCTTTCTTTCTTTCCCCTCGTCTTTCTTTCCTTCTTTCTTTCTCCTTTAATGTCATTACAATCTTTCTTTCTTTCTTTCTTTCTTTCTTTCTTTCGCCTTGTCTTTCTATCTCTTTATGCCTACCCTTTTCTTTCTTCTTTAATGTTCTACCTCACTTTTATTTCTATGTCTTTAGTTCGTTTTTCTTTCTTCCATTCCATTAGCCAATAATCCTCCTCTTTTACACCAACCTCTCTTCTTTGTTTCATTCTCCATTCAATTATTCATTCCGTAAACCTTCGCAATTTCTTTACAGCCCTTTCCCCTAGACCATATTTATCTTCAGCACTTGCCTTACAATCCAATAAGCATCGCCTATCTAAAACACAATCAATGCCATCAATCATTAGTATCGTTAATAAACATCCACATTAAACAGCGAAAAGTAGAAAACATCGGCGCAGTGTATATAAAAGTCTTCATTTTACCTTTCCTATAAATGCAGCCATATTACTCACACACACAAGGACGGGTTCTGCCTCATCAATTTTAATTAAAAAATCGAGTCTACGATTCAACACAGTTCCCAAAATAAAAAGTCATATCTCTGTTCGCTAATAAGTACTTGGACTGTATACAGAGAAATTAAATTCTTCGCCTCTTATCTCTTCTGAAAAAAAAAAAGAGCGTACCAAACTACACTGTCAGGATATTAAAATATAATAATACGCTTAAGCGCCATTTTCTTATATTGTCTATAGTCATTCGCGAGCAATAAGCTGGTCCCTTGAGTATTTTAATAATTTTTATCTTACGTTCGCGTCCTGGCAATTTTATTAGTTCAGTTAAATTGGCAACCGCGAAGTTGTAAGTCCGAATTTACCATGTCTGTCTGCAGGGAAAGAAGATGGTGGAGACTTGACATTGGACGATACAATAAAATTCAGGGCAGAGAAAGGAAATAGCGTAGATCACAGATTGCCGCAGACAGAATTAAAAACACACAGAGACGCATTATATATATATATATATATATATATATATATATTGGGTGTAACACCAAAATTGTTTAAGCTCTGAATTAAGATCTGAAGCGTTATATATTAGAAATGATTAAAGATATCTTACTGGAATTCCCCGAGGTTTGTATAACATTAATGGACTCTACATTGAGCAATAAGAATGTATAATTACTCTCCAAGTTTAACAGAAGAATCGTGATGAAATCGATCATAAACGAAAATGACATGTTCATCATTAATTAATTAGGTCTACGGATCGGAAGCTCATAAATGATTGAAATAAAGTTCACACACACACACACACATATATATATATATTATATATATATATATATATATATATATATATATATATATATATATATGTATGTATATATATATATATTTAGCTTAGGAAATCTCTGATATTGAGCGCTTTCTAATAAGTACCTTGCATAAATATATAAATAATTATACATATATATATTTATTTATATTTATATACATTTTCACACATATATATATATATATATATATATATATATATATATATATATATATATATATATATATATATATATAATAAAACTTTTTTTTCATCACGATATACACACACATATATATATATATATATTATTCCAGGATAATTTTCCATCTTATTCAAGATGATCTTCGCCCTCTGTCGACTTCATTTTCAAGTCTTTATTTATTTGGACTATGATATCTAAAAATTCTTTCTCACGTGCCAAACGTCTTATGGATTGAGTTGGATCTTTTCTAATTGATTTCTTTAGCTCTAAGTTGAAATGATAATTTTTCTTCCTGTTTTGACCTCCTGATCCATTTTTCCTCCTTGCTGTTCTCTCTTTTTTAAAATTTATTCACCGTTCTCTTGATGATTCTTGACTGGCCTTTGATAATAGAGGCCAGAATATGAATGTTGGTACCATTACCGAAGGCCTGAAATATCCTCTTTCTCTCAATATTGATAATTTTAGGAAGACAGTGAGGCTCAGTGATTCTTAATGTGGGTAATTCAGTTCGCCCGTCGTTTGCGATGACTGAAATTGATTAAAGTGCTTGCTTTCGTCCAGTCCTCCGGTCTACCAACTGAGCTGTTGCTAGTGACCTCTTATTCTCTCAGTCTCGTTAGTACGTACGCCGTCACGCCAACAATGCGTGTCTCTCGTTTTTCCTCCCAAACTCGCTAAAATTTGCATACGAGACTTAATTCCCGTTCGCCCGTGACTTCCGGTTTTATAAATTCAAGCTGGTTTGAATACTTAGTCTTTTTTATTTTTTTTCTTTGTACGTCTACCCGCGATATAGGAATTTCGGAATAATCCATTTCTCATGTAATGCATGTCGCGATTTTTCAACAGGACCCGACACGCCAAGCCAACTCGCTTTGCGGGAGGTAGGTCTTCTCGTTCCTCACACTTACGAAAAAATGTGTCAAGATTGCTGAAATGTCTTATATGTAAACCTGAAAAAAACAAAAAAAAAAAACAATTAGTTTAATGAATTTTTAGATATTAAACATTTTTTGGGATGGATAATTATGCTGTTAGACGATTTGGGCAATTTGGCAGTTACACTCAGTATATAACAAAATATATATATATATATATATATATATATATATATATATATATATATATATATAAATGTTCTTGTAAGGCATTTCGCCCTTTAGCTTCATTGAACTCCACCATCATACTAACATACTGTTATGGGATCTTACCGATAATAATAATAATCGACTATTCCATACTTAATAAATGCTGCGCCTCAGCAGTAGTTCAAGTCGTGTCAGTAGTTCAAATCGAGTCACGAGTTGAGTCAGAGGCAGTCCGAAACAGAGTCGCGTTCAGACAATTACTGCAAGGCATTGGAATAGTGCTCGAGACTACATTGTTCTCTCTACTAAGCCTGATTGTTCATACTAACACTTTCTACTTCTCTGTATATATTACTGTTTGTAATATATCAATTTTTATTCCATACCTGTGTTCGTGTTCTTCATTATTGGTTCTACCTTGGACTGTCACCGCGGTACAAGGAACCGGACCATAACAGAGAGCAAGGTTTTAAAATTACTGCAAACATTGGAATAGTGATGCTGTCGAGACTACATTGTTCTCTCTACTAAACCTGATTTTTCATACTAACACTTCTACTTCTCTGTATATATTCCTGTTTGTAATATATCTGTGTTATTCCATATCCGCCTTCGAGTTCTTCTTTATTGGTTCTACTTTGGACTATCACCGTGCTAGAAGGAACCGGACCATAACACATACCAAAACTTAGTTCGTACTCTATGAAGTCATAAAAAACATGATTCCTGATAAAAGATTTTACAATCCGACACTTTTACGGTAACAAACAAAATCAAATTTGCTAAAACTACCAATGATTTACAGCAAAAAAAAAAAAAATGAAAAATGACGTCTCAATAATCAAAAATTTAAGAAAAAATAATTATCAAAGCAGACAAGATGCTAACCATTACAAAATCGATTTGGATATGTGCCACAAAGCTATTAACAAATAAGTTAATACGTTTTATAGAAAATAAGTTAATACGTTTTATAGAAAGGCACCCAAGAACGGGGAAACTATTTTCAATAGTGTAGCCATGTAAATAGTCACTGATCTAAAAATTGATGATAGAATTCACAAATTCCATAGACTACAATCATTCATCACAACGCAAATTTCCTAAACAACCCACAATGCAAATTACTTATAACCTAAGTAAAAATAATATCTGTAAAATCAGCAAAAGTATCCGTGAAAGAGCGTGCAAAAACACGAAAAAACGTGGGTGCATTTGTTCAGAATCTCCAGGAATAAACGAGTGAGCCATAGAATGATTTACTAATATATAAAGGAATAAACTATATAAATTCATTCAGTTTGTTATGTGTCTTTTGTCCGTCCATCACTGAAAATTTGCTAATGTCTGATATGAATTTAGCAACAAATTACTAACGTATTAGCGATCGCGAAATCAAAATCATGAAACAGACACAAAAAAGCCTATACTATTCCATAATGGTTATCTGTGGATCAAAAGAAGTAACCCAGACTTTAATATTGCTCTGGGAGAATATGATTCAGCAGAGCCATGCAAAATTGTTTGCATTTGTTGAGAATACTAAGATTTATTTTCGACATTAAGGACACAGGCCTCTATAGAAATGACGCTGCAATTCTCCTCCGTAAAACAAGTCCACGATTTATAGAGCCCGCACTAGAGAAAGCAACTTTTCGGTTCGGCTGCTGTAAGAAGCTGAAATTGACTTCCGCTGCCGTCACTCTATGGAGTGGCGTTTACAAAACGGCCGTCACGTGACGCATGTGACTTATCTCCACCAAAGGAAGATAATCCCATTCTGTATGCCTACACACTTGAATGGATCTACTAGCAATGAGGCTTTACGTCTTTAACGCTTATTTGTACACAAGTTCATTCATACTCGGCGCATTTTATCACTCCAGGAAGTACGAAAGTCGTTGAAGAAGTTCTAAGCCTAACCCACAGAGAAGAGCCATAGCTGATTTTTGTTAGTTGTGCCATTACCACCTCTTATAAAACTAGTAAAACTAATTCAGATTTGTGTCTTAATTTCTGTGAAGGTGAGGCCCATACAAAGGTGAGAGGTGTGCGGCAAATGTAAAATTCTAGACTAGGTTACATTTGTTATTCGTGTACATTTGTGGTTAGTTTGTCTTCAACGTTTAACTTGTGTAGTAGTGGGTTAACTGAGAAGCGACCCTTTATACAATGGTAAGATATTCATATCATGATTAATCAGATATTATTTTTGCATACAGCCAAGCGAATGCGGTTCATCCATGAGAGTGTTCCAGTATCGTTTAGTTACATTCTTCGCAATGCTCTAGCTGACATCTACCATGAAAGATGGATACGTAGAGGGGACCGGTCATATGGCCTGAACGTTCTCCCAATCTCAATTTTTATGTGTGGTCACCTAAAATAATTGGTTTATTCAGTAGACATTAATAATGCAGAGACGCTTCATCAAAGTGTTGTGGGGGCCTGGGAAACCATTTGACAACATGTGGGAGTATTTGAAAGGGTCCGCCAGTCAATGATCCGACGTGTGCATGCTGTGTAGAAGAAAGCGGGGGGAATTTAGAACATTTATTATGAGTTGCTGTGTTGAGGTACAACGATGTCGTTTTGGGCATATGTTTATATGCTAATTTTAAATTTGTTTTCTTGACAACCGGCCCCCAAGAATTTTTGGATTTCATTTATCGGTATCACTTCAAGCAAGTCAGTAATTCCACTAAAACACAAGGGGATACAGGGTGTAAAAGAATTAGTAACAGAAACATTAATTATGAGCAGAAAGAGATGGACAGTAGATAGGGATTGATAATTTATTTAAATTTTTGCAGATTAAAGTTGGCTGGAAAGCTTTAAGCCAAAGGGGTGGTCCACAAGCCAGAAGTGCGAGAAAAGAAACTGTTAGCATAGAATTTGCGGTTACATCTAGCCAATTCAAATGTAGATTCATGATACCTCGAGGACCTTCTAGTGCTGCGCTTAAATTAAAAAAAATCTCTAGGTACCCTAGCGAATAGCTCATTTGAACAATTGCCGTGAAAGTATTTATAGAAAAGGCACTGGGAAGCTAGAATATAGGAGTGGGAATGTGACTGAAGGCAGGATGCCAGGTTAGGACCAAGATCATTGCAGATTCTTTGGATTTTATCAATAATCTAGGCACCATAGCGAAGAGATCCTTCGAACAATTACCATGAAAGTATTTATAGAAAAGGCACTTGGAAGCTAGATTATGACTGTAGGAAAGTGACTGAAGGCAAGATGCCAGGTTAGGACCATGATCATTGCAGATTCTTTGGATTTTATCAATAATTTAGGCACCATAGCGAAGGGATCCTCTGAACAATTACTATGAACGTATTTATAGAAAAGGCACTGGGGAGCTAGATTATGGCCGTAGGAAAGTGACTGAAGACAAGATGCCAGGTTAGAACCATGCTCATTGCAGATTCTTTGGATTTTAACAATACTCTAGGCACTATAGCGAAGAGATCCTCCGAACAAGTATCATTAACGTATTTATAGAAAAAGCACTGGGTAGTTAGATTATGGCAGTGGGAATATGACTGAAGGCAAGATGCTAGGTTAGGACCATGATCATTGCAGATTCTTTGGATTTTAACAATAATCTAGACCTCTGAACAATTACCATGGACGTATTTATAGAAAAGGCACTGGGAAGTTAGATTATGGCAGTGGGAATATGACTGAAGGCAAGATGCCAGGTTAGGACCATGATCATTGCAGATTATTTGGATTTTAACAATAATCTAGACACCATAACGAAGAGATCCTCCGAACAATTAAAATGAAAGTATTTATATGAAAAAAAACATGCAGAGGCAATTTTATACGGTGATGGGTAAGTGACTTGAGTTGAGCTGCCAAATCTGGGCCCAATCATATTGCATCTTCTTCTTTGGATTTTATCAAGGAGTTCAAAGTAATTAATAGGAGCAGCGAATCATATGTGGCGGCAATATTCTAAGCATGGACGAATGGCAGGCTTATAAATATACAAGATAGATTCTGGAGAAAAAATTGTCTCGCACGACATAGTGAACCAACTATCTTAGAAACTGTCCTATCAATGGATTCAGTATAGTCTTTCCACTTCCTATCAACAGAGCACATGAGCCCGAGAAAGCGCAACGCGTCTCCTTACTGGAGGATAGCATCAGCCGTGCGGATGGATAGCAGCGAGGGGTCTCTCAGATTAATGGAATTTAGTTTTGAAGACGTTGAAATTAACAAGCCATCTTTTGCCCCAGCTAGCTACGGACTCGATGTCGTTTTGAGGAGTAAATTGTTGTGTCGTCTGGGTAGATATCAATTTGGGAGCTTATGTCACCAGAAAGGTCGTTAATGAAAATTAAAAACAAACTAGAATCAAGGTTGGAGCCCTGGGGCTCACCTACCTTGGTACGAAAGGATCTAGACTCGATGCTGTTCAAGATAACCGCCATTTAACGATTTGATAGAAAAGACAATCAAAAATTCTTGTATTGTACATTTAACAGCTTATAGCGTAAGTTTTAAACTTAATAACAGAAAAAAAAAACGATGGATTTGAGAAATATTGTCCTTGTTTTAGTGTGACGAACACGCCCCAAAGTTTTTATAAAATAATTTTTGAAACGCCCCC